TGTTTAAAGGCGTATGGATAATAAAACACACCTAACCTTCGATAACATGAACTCGCTTCACACGAAATTCATCATTAAACAAACCAAATTTGGGTGCCTCCAAAGAAACGTACTAATTACGATGTACATAAAAATCGGACAATTCTAAATTTTATAACAAGTTCGATTGTTTCAGTCCCTTGGAAATGTTGACGAAGGGTTTATTGTATTAAATGCAATTACGTAGTAGCATACACCAATCACAGTTCATTGCATCTTTCATACCATTCATGAACCGCCACTCTAAGTGAGTCCTCTGATGAAACTGGCAGGCTGCCAAAAGCACAATCCCCAACATCCTGATTAAAAACCGCCGTTGTCAGTCACTTTCTGCACGCTACTTGGTCGTCGTTTCCCCTCCCTCCTTATACACCTCTCAGCCAGTGAATGGCTGACAGACCCCACGTCGCGACAGATAACCGGACGAAACGAAGTCAAAAAACTATCAAAGCAATTAAAAAAACATGGGTTATCGGATTTGACAATTCAAAACTGTATTGGTTTCTTTATTGATGGAAACTCGATTTAATTAATTTTTAACGCTTCGTGACATTGGTCTGAAGAATTGACAATTATTGGATTACTGAAAATTATAATAAAATGTATTTATGATTAACATTTTCATTTTAAAAATATCGACCTCATAGAAATGTCGAGCACAAAACATCGATGTTAAAGAAATATCGGTCTCAAAAAATCTATGTTAAATCGATGATTTGATGAAAAAACGTCGATGGTTTTAAAAAAACTCGACAACGATGTTGCATGCTACTACGCACAGCAGATCGGAACCCCTCCCCACCCCACCCTATCAGCATCACTACCGCCACCGCCACCACCGCCCTCGCCAGACGCGACGGCGTTCGGTGGCGAGAGCTCTCCATGAATGAGGAATTAGGTCTCCGTCGGGGGAATCCGGCGCAGTTACTCTCGAAATTAGTTCGAAAGCGTTGCAGAATTAACAATCAGCGCCGTTCAACTGGTTAGGTGCTGTTGGAATAGTGATTAGTTTTACGGAACGGGAAGCGTTGAGAGATACAATTCATTATCACCATTGGAACACAAATATTGGATCGTCGAGTGCCGCTCGCCTAGATGTGGTGGCCGAATTTGCGTTTGCAATGGAAGTCGTTGCGCGCTGGCGGCATTTGATTCGCGTTTTGCAGTTGCGGGAGTTGCTGCTCGTTATTGTTTGGGAGTTATTTATATTAATGGTGCTATTAATCATTTCTGGGCCTATTCTCTTTGTAAAACGCGAATGCTGTTTATAGGATTTGTTCTGCTATTGAATCATATATGAACGCGTGTTAGCTGTGGACGTCAATCATTTTTTTCTTGAACCTTAAATTTCGTGCATACGTATAGAAATTCTGTCTCTTACTGAGTTAGTGCAATTTCTTTGGATCCTAAAAATAAGTGAGAATTCTAAGGAAATGCCAAATGAATTTTTACAAAATGTATGTAAACTTGCAGTGCAAGACACCTCAACAATCGTTTCATCTCAGCAAATCACTACTTTCAGTGACGATTACGGTCATTTTTGACAATAAAATGAAATTAGGGCAAACGGATTCTGGATAAATTCTGTTTTGTTACGGAGAATTAGAAATGTTCGGTGAATAACTAGAGAAGTTACTCGTATGAGGTTGAACTAAATAGATATAAATAAATAAGCAAATAAATAAATATGTTAAACAGTGGGGAAAACTTTACAGAAATACACACACGATCACAAATAAAAAAGATTTTCAGAGATATTTATTTGTCTCTAACAACTACTTATCAGAGAAATACAAATTCTACAAATATGGGTTATTATTACAAATATGGGTTCGAACCAAAACCCCTCGCTGCTCCGGAAGCTCTTCGCTGGGCCTCGAGCGCCTTCGGGGTACGCGCCACGCGCAGAGCGCCGTAGCCCGGAATCACGAACAGACCATTGACAAGCGATTCCGAACGCGTCAACTACTATGTTCATTAATCCCGTAGGTGTAGGGAATCTCTTCCTCTGATGGTCTTCCCCACTGAATTCCGACCTACCGTCGGCTAGCGGGGATTCCCATAACCATATGCCTCCCCCAGTGGGGAATCGCCCCAGCCGGGATATGCTCTAAGCACCTGACCGGTCTCCCGGCATGGGTGGTAGTGAGTGTCTGTTGTGTGTCTGTGTCTTCCGTGTCTGCACCGCAGCGAAGTCTCCGCGCGCGCGCTCTTCCTGCCTTCTTATTGGCGCTTGGCGTCCGCCGCCGCGGCGCTGCCGCCTCTCGCTTTCCATTAAAACGCGGAGCCGCAGCGGTTCACCGCTTTCATTCAAGATAATTGCAATATAGAGCAGCAACGGGTTGCGCCCGCAGCATTTCCATTCAGTCGCCCGTCGCCGTCGCCTTTCGCTCGCGTTTGCTGGCGCGCGGATCTAATTTCCAGCGCGCCTCGCGTGCGCATATTGATTCGCGCTGGCTTTTGGCCGTTGAGGGGAAAAAATGTTATGAAAAGATGGAGAGTGGGGTGTTCAGAATCAAATCGTCGAACGAGAAAGACGGCGGCTAGCGAAGATGTAGGTCAATTCCCGGAATTCCTCAAAGGATAACGAGGGCGCGGGTTTTGAAGCCCGCCCTCGGGGGCTCGTTGGTCAGCGTGCTCGCGTTCCACGGCGCAACCTCTCCGGGTTCGATTCCCGGTCGGGGCAAAGTTATAACTCTCCGCTCTCCTTACAAATGTCAAAGTATCTATTGCTGTGTGGCCATGAGAAAGCTCACTCTAAGGTTCAGAAGACCAGAATACACAGTGAAGGGATGTCTTTGTGCTAACCACATGAACCTCTTATCCCATGGCCGAGAGACTGGATTACTGCTGTTCGGTCAAGGTCCAATTGTATCAAGCTGTCGAGCTAAAGGACAGTACATATTATAAAATAGTAGAACGTTTATACAGCACGATAGACGTTATATCTCGTATAATTTAAGAAATGTTAGTAAATTGCACATGAAAGGCACCTCATTAAAATACGAATACGTTAATAATAATTTGCTTGATTTATGAGTTAACTAATGGCGCAACAACAGAACATACTTTCTCGTATTATATATGACTTTAAAATTTTCAAAAACTCAGAGAATTCAACGAATATGATATCAGCGCCATTATTTTGAACGTCGTTTCTGTATGCCTGGAAAATATTGAGAAACGTTTTGTGTAAAAATTGAATTGCTTTCATTTCAAGCAAAAACCACGCAAAAACGCTCGCATTTTCAAAATATTATATCAAATCTAATTTAAATATTTATTTTTGTAAATTTGGTATCTTTAAGAAAATATCTGAATCATTTATAGTATATTTTTACAAAGTGTATGGTTTGGCATTTATTCAAATGCTAATTTACTTGTCCGAGATAACTTTTAGTAATACTTCCGTCTGATACGTCAATCACAGGGGCAGAAAATGCAGCGAAGAGGCACTTAATACCTGCGGGTGCTGCGGGTTGCATAGTGGTTCTGTTCAGGGGCGCTTGGGTAGTCATGAACTCATAAATCAAATTTAGCGCCCGAATTTTGCGTCTGCAACGGACATACGCACATTCCCGTTGCACTATGCTTTTAACCTTCGCGCAAGGGCAAGCGATAAGTTGACAAACTATTATTGATATCAAATGAACGGTACGGTACGCATAAAATGTGAACAAGTATTGATTTCTATATTTTAAATAATGTAGTTTCTTTGTATTATAGATTTTCTTGACGTTCGTTAATAGTCATTATGAATCGATGACATGATGGATATCAATACACGTGTGTAATATTACTATACGAGCAAGGAACGAGCTAGTATCGTAAACTTCACACGAATGTATTGATACCTATTACATCAAGTTTCATACGGTACTTTTTCTACGAGTTACGGTAACTGCTATAAGTGAAAATTTGACTTTGAATCGTTTCGTGTCAATTAATGTGCAGAACTAAGTCAAGGCCACCTAGCGGAGAGCTTCTTGCCCACCCAGCTGCAAATGTTTCTTGTTTACCACTGCGCTAGTTAAATTGGATAAAAGTGAAATTACGATCTAATTTATTTTAAGTTATATTCTACGAAAAAATACAACTAATAAAATAAAATTCTACAACTAATGAAATACAACTTATAAAATAAAATTGTACAACTTATAAAATACAACTAATAAAACTGACGAGCGTAGTATAATATTAAATGCAATTTTTCTGTGCACAGCTGAACGAAAACATTACTAGAACATTTCTCAATAATTAATTATCAATTATCATTATTGTTTGTATACTTCTCTGTGATGCGTCGAAGAACCTGTAACAATATAAATCTGTCTCGTAATTAGTATTATTATGCAAGTGTTTCAGCCAGTCCAAATGACAGTTATATAGATAGTGATTCTACTATCATTTATTTACTATTCATATGACTTGTGAGCACTAATATTTCCCACCGATCGTTGTGAGTTCGAGGTCTGTGGTGATTTACAAGTTATAGTGGTTACTTGTTCGTCACTAACAACATAGCTAGGAGAATTGAGCCGATGTCCGGAGAAAAACGTGGCCTTGACTTTGTAAATCGTGACTCGTAAGACCGCTTAAGTCCTTAGCAACCAACCTCTGAATAACCGCTTTCAAGCGGCGAACCCCATTCACGCCCAACGCGCACCGCTCCGGAGAATCACCAAAGTGTTTTACAAGTATCTACGTTTCTTAAAACTTTGATAAATTGTGGCCTTTTATTCCGCTGTCTCCCTGTCCGGTTGTACCATTTCGTCTCTTTTGTCGCCATTCCACTCTTGCCCCCAGAATTTCCGTTGCCCCTTGTCTCATCTTTGTTCATTTGTCCCCGTGTCGCATTGTGCCCCTTTGCCCCTCGGCCCCGCTATCGCGCGCCCTCCGGCCTTGACTTGGCAGAGTGATTGCGAGGCCTGGGCGTAAGGAAGTGCTGTGTGTGCTGCAGGGGAGCACCCGGCGGCGATGCAGCACGGGGGCCAGCTGCGGCTGGAGTTCCCCGCGGGCGTCTTCTTCGTGAGCGCCGTCGTGGCGCTGCTGGGCTCGTGAGCCCCCTCGCGCTCCAGCGGCGCCCTGCGCGGCGCTCTGCGGCGCTCTGCGGCGAGCGCGCCGGGAGCGCGGGCCGCCGGCACGGGTGGGGCGGCGTGGACTGGCTGCCCTCCCTCCACGCCTTTGTATTTGCAGCTGCAGAAAAGTTGATGGACTTAAATACAGAAACTATGTTCGTTCTTACCAGTGTATTTATTTATATCCCTTATGGGTTCGCATCCAAATAGGCTTCCTCAAGAGTGCCTTGATCACTCTGCTCTTGCGCCCAGCAGTGTTGCCAGACGTACCAGGATCCTCATATTTGACCAGTATTTTAATAAAGGTACCATGTACTAGGATGAAGCTATCCTGGTAAGTGTAAATACCAGAATTTTTGTGTACGGAAATTTATGATGCACGATTTAAGATTAATATAGTAATATTTTATTCAATTGTTTAAAACTAACACCAGTATTACAAACAACAATGATATGGCTGAAAACACTCCTATAAAAAGCATTAAGGGTGTAAAAGATGCTTTTTCTGGGAGACGCTAGAGTACAAAAGGATAGTATTCCATTATGTTTATGGATATAAAATGAATCGATATCTAGCCAAGTTTAACGATCTTCCTGTACGTGTTAAAAACATTAGAGAGTTTTATAAACTTAAGAAATTAATTCAATTGAAATTGGTACCAGGAATTTTAGTCAAAGTACCATGGTTTTTTAAAGTTGTAGAATATACATTTAATGATCTGGCAACATTGGTGCTCAGATCACTAACATTCAATGCACACGGTTACCTTCATTATTGACAATTTAAATGGATATTTACCCCTAATATTATTATACACGACGATTACACTTGGAAGTTGGAAATCATGCTGAGGATTTGTGCCCCTCTCTAGTTCGAATTGCTGATGACTAACTACTCTTCATTACCATCCTTGGCTTTGGTCTTCTACGATTTATTTTGAATACGGTGAGTAGATTCATTTCATTCATTCTTCTCATTGATTTCTTTTGCAAATCGTGGTGTATTTTTATCTTGTTAGAAGCTGTTTATTTGTTTTGTCTACTCTGGTGACCCACGTTTGGTAATCAAAGGCAACAAATCATCTACTTGATTTCCTCGAGTCTCTCGGTATTGTACACTTGTAACGTGTGATTAGTGTATTTCCTAGAGAAATTGAGTTATTTTCTAAATTAATTATCAAAACTCACTTTATTTAGGTGAGCATTTAAAAAAGAGATTATTTACCTCAGTTTCTTCTCGCTTTAGTTTAATTATTTAATTCAAATGCCCACTATTCTTCAAATTTTCTAAAGTGTAAACATTTTGTAAAACATAGTTCTTTGTCAGAGTATTCATGAGTATTTTTGTCTCTCGATTTTGACGTGTTAAAAACAAAGAAAAGACCATGTAACAATGCGAGAGAGATCGAGTAATTCTTTACTGCCACATTTTGTTTTCAGGTCAATTAATCAAAAAATACATTAAGCTCGCGAATTCAACGAAACAAATGTTTGCCTCACAGACTTAAACAAACGACAGTCTGTGGTAGGGCGCGGGGCCTTCAATAAGCAAATATTTGTGTAAAAATATTGTGCCATTGATTTTCGATGAAAGAGCTCCGATAATTGTATTTTTTTTCATCGCAGCGTTTCTTGGATGCCCCACTTTTCCGTGCAGTAATCATGCTCACTTGTTTGGGCGTACGAAGCGACTTAAGTACCGAGCTGGCGGACAGATAGCAGCACGACCTGTGGCCATTCTTCGCTCCCTTCAAGGAACTTGAAACGCGCGAAGGCAGCCCGAGTAATAAGGGAACAAATTTTCTTGGTCGATGGAATGAAGAAATGCGGGAGGAGTAGGGGTGTTAGTTACAAGGTAGGCCGTTATGTACTGCCAACCTCTGTAAAATCTAAATCAATGACAGTAATCGATTTCACTGATTGTATATAAAGAAATATTTAATTACTAAAATCTGTGCTCCATGTATTCACAACTTTTTCATTATAGCTTCATTGATGTTTGTTCTCATTAGCTTTAATAGAAATGTTATATCTCAGATTTGAATTTAAAATTGACCCTCACGTTTTATAATGCATGAATGATTTGGGGTGAGTTTGTTTGCATAAAGTGACAATTTATTTTTAACAAATGAGACAATCTAAAGAGAAACTAACAATGAAAATATTTTTAAAGTTTTAAAAATCAATAAATGATCCTTTCATTTGAAGATCTGTATAAAGTTAATAGAAATAGTATGTAAAAAATACAACTATATAGAGTATGATAAATTGTTTTCCTTGAAGGTTACCTCTACCGTAGGTTTCTGATCATTGCGTCTTGTTATCTTTATTTTACCTATCATTCAAATAATACCTCCAGCATTCTTTAGCGTCCTGCCTGTGCTAAAGCATTACTCAAATGATACAAGAAAACCTTGTTCCGCTTTTCCATTTCACAAGCATTCGCGACGTTTTTGATGATTTTGCGTTCACCGCTAGTATACGCCCTCTTTAACTTATTTAGGAGTTTGAGGGGCCTCCCTCATAGGAGCTGAATTTGGCTTAGCCATATGTTTTAGATGTTATTGAGAATAAACCCGAAGAGCAATTCTCGTCTATTAGCTTTCTCTAGTTCCTGTTTCACGCTACCGAAGTGTTAATGTTTGGAATGCCATAAGAGTTCACTGTAAGCTTATGCCTTTAACTGTTTATTGATCCAGGGAGAGGGAAGCGAGGTCACCGGTCAAGAAAAGTTGTGCCGTTATTACCTCGGTGACAGGGAGCTGTTTGGGCTTTGTACCTACGGCAAAGAAAATTGCGCCCTGAGCCATGAGGCGTGTTGTTAAACCCTTCGAGAGAAGGATCCTCCCTTGTTATCCCTAGGGCGATGAGATGATGATGATGGATGGAAGGACGGCACGCACACATAGCCATTCATAAATACGCCCGTGCCCCAAGTGGGACTCAAACCCACGATCTTCTAGTCCGAGATCGCTACAGCACTACTGCCATAAAGATCTCGGCCATCTGACCGGCTATTCCTTCACTTATGATATATTTTTAAAAAAGATTCAATTTATTGAAGTGAAGTGAAAACAATTATTCATTACTTAAATATACTTGTGTACTACTGATAGCGATCCTTCTATCGCAAGTTGACATAAACTCGCCTTAATGGCTTGATTTCCTTTTTAATCAATCCACTTTAGAGATACTGAAAATATCCCCTACGAACAATATTACACTTTCCCTCGAGATTTGAAATTTAGATGGGTGAAAGAGCTTTAACTTTTTTCATAGCAGACCACAAAAAAAACCTCTATATCTCCTACCATTTTCACATTTGCAATAAAATACCCTGATTTCAATTGTAGAAGTGTAAGAAGTGCTAGTACTAATAATATTTTAGTACTAGCACTTCTAACTAGCTAGTTTAAGTTGTTAGCATGCTCCAGGAAAGTAATAATCCATAGACGTAATGTATGTTCGCCCCAAAGTACGATCTGAATCAAAGTGGCACGTACGTGTTTGCGGTCTTGATAATAATTGTTGTTTTGTTTGCTTTGGCCTTCCAGGAAATGCAGAATGCGACCAGGTAAGTTAGGTAATCGAAGGAAACCCGCAGCAGAGGCGTTGGTTTATCGCACTCTTTGTACACCCTTGGAAACATTTCGCGTCGAAAATTACTTCGCCCGAGATGTTCATGGAGTTGGCCACCCCTGCCTGCTGACTGCGTATCCAGCGGAGTTTTAATGCAATAATTCTTTACATTATGAACTAATTGCATAAATTACTATTAAGCTTCCATTGAGAGGTAAATAGAAATAGTGTACAGGTAAACGATTTACCCATTAAACTGAATTGACATTTATTTTTGTACACCTAATGTTGCTTTCAAGTTTCATTAATATAAAATGTGTTGTTATGAGAGGAGTGTTGTAGCAGTAAATTGATGACTGAGTGTCACGGTGATGTTCCAGTTCTTGGAGAATAGGGTGTTCTATTCCCAGTCTGCATAGATAACTTTATGGTGTTATAGAATGGATAAAGTATACTAAATTACAACATTATACATTTGTCTTGTCTATGCTTCTAGTTATACATCAGAAGACAAATGCTAGCGTGAGAGTTTCGTATTGTAAAAGTATAATGATTTCGTACATTGTGATGACCCAGACTACTATAGTAATGGAAAGACCACTAAAGTAATGATCTAACCAGTTTAACTCTCTGCAAAAACCTACGCCTACATTTTCTTCCCACCGGGAGAGAAGTCCCCCAAATGCATCAACTGATGTCACTGCAGTGCTTGTGACCGGGAGGTTCTCGGTTCGAGTCCGGACAGGGGAAATATTTTCAACACCACCTTGACAGCTTGGGCAAATTCACTCGCTGCCTGGAGATTTGTAGCGGCCGGCAGCTCTAATAGGTAGTTTTCTGTCATTTCTGCGGTCAACGCCAGACCAATGCCGGAGCAGTACTTTCTTGTCTGATCCCATCCCTTATTTACACACGCTTACATGCACTTCCCTACCACAAATGCTGGAAGAGCAGTGTGGAGCTTAGAGCTTCTCCCGCTGAAGGCAGTGCCCTGCTGGTGGGAGATACCTGGTTAAGGGAAACTTCAGGTCGGTGTCAGACCTCACCATCTAGAGAGGGAAGATCAGCACCAAAAAAGCATGCACTACACTTACGGAACGTATTACCTCAGTGGTTGACGCGCCCGGGATCGCCAACAAACAAACAAACAATCCATTCTCTTCGCCACAAATTTCGCACAGTGTAACTGTAAACCTCAAATTTGCAACCCGGAAACGAGAGATCGCGTTAACACAACAGCCCCCACCCGACCAGCGAACCACTACCTACGCAAAACAATTATTCTCCGCCCTTCCCCGAAACAATTAATGGAAAACTCCGGGCCGCTGCGCTTTCCACGCAGCCCATTTTACACCAACGCCCCCCCTCTGCCGCGCTGGTGCAGAACCTTCGCGTGTCAACCCGCATTAATTGCAATCGCCGCCGCGGTCAATTATCGCCGCGCGCGAGCGAAGGCGAGGCCGGACAATGGGTCGTAATTGGTGGCCCTCCGGGGGGTGGGGGCCGTCGGCCGCCGCGCTCTCATTTCGGGACCGAGCGCGCGGCGGGGCAGGGGTCCGGGGGCGGGGGGCGTGAGAACAACGGGGAGTGCGGGAGCGGACGAGACGCGGCGCGGAGTGCCGCCGGGCAGGGGTGCCGGGACGTGGCATGGTGAGCGTGGCGCGGTGCCGGGTGGGGCAGGCGGGGCGAAGCCGTGCCGTGGCGGAGAGAGCGGGCGTGGCGGCAGAAATGAGGCGTGGCGGGCCATGCTGGGCAGCGGGGTGCCGACTGTGGCGCGTAGTGCGGGGTGGGCATGGTGGAGCGTGGCGTGGTGCTCGGGTGGGCGAGGCGGGGCGACACCGTCCGGGCGAGAGAGCAGGGCGTGCGCGGGGCAGAAAATGAGGCGTGGCGGGTCATGCTGGGGCGCGGGGTGCCGGGACGTGGCCGCGTAGTCGCGGGGTGGGAGGTGGAGCGTGGTCCGTGGTGCTCGGTCGGGGCGAGGCGGGGCGAAGCGTGGCGTGCGGAGAGAGCAGGGCGTGGCGGGAAGAAATGAGGCGTGGGGGCCATTGCGGGCAGCGGGGTGCCGGACGTGCGTCAGGTGGCGGGGGGCATGGTGGAGCGTGGCGTGGTGCTCGGTGGGGGCGAGGCGGGGCGAGCGGCCGTGGCGGAGAGAGCAGGGCTGCGGCAGAAATGGGCGTGGCGGGCCCATGCTGGGCCAGCGGGGTCAAGGGACGTGCGCCGTAGGCGGGTGGGGGATGGGGGACGTGGCGTGGGTGCGGGGTGGGGCCGAGCGGGCGAAGCGTGCCGTGGCGGAGAGAGCAGGCGTGGCGGGAAGAAAATGAGGCGTGGCGGCATGCTGGGCACGGGTGCCGGGACGTGGCGCGTAGTGGGTGGGCATGTGGACTGGCGTGGTGCTCGGGGTGGGGCGAGCGGGCGAAGCGGCCGGGCGAGAGAGCAGGGCGTTGCGGGCAGAAAAAGAGGGTGGGCGGGCCATGCTGGGGCAGCGGGGTGCGGGACTTTGGCGCGTGTTGCGGGTGGGCATGGTGGAGCGTGGCGCTGGTGCCGGGGTGGGGCGAGGCGGGGGGCCGAACGTGCGTGGCGGAGAGAGCAGGGCGTGGGCGGGCACAGAAATGAGGCGTGGGCGGGCATCGCTGGGCAGCGGGTGCCGGAGTGGCGCGTGTGCGGGGTGGGCATGGTGGAGCGGTGCGTGGTGTTCGGGTGGGGCAGGCGGGCGAAGCGTGCCGTGCGGAGGAGACAAGGGCGTGGCGGCAGAAATGAGGTGGCGGCCAATGCTGGCAGCGGGGTGCCGGACGTGCCGAATAGTGCGGGGTGGGGCATGGTGAGCGTGGCGTGGTGCTCGGGGGGGCGAGCGGGCGAAGCCGTGCCGTGGCGGAGAAGAGCAGGCGTGGCGCAGAAATGATGCGTGCGGGCCATGCCGGGCAGCGGGTGCCGGGACGGTGGCGCGTTAGTGCGGGGTGGGGCATGTGGAGCGCGGCGGGGCTGTGCGGGTGTTGCTTGCGAGACGGGGTCTCCCGGGCGAGGGTAGTGTTCTGTGTTCTGCGGAGGCGGGCGTGACGAAGCAAGACGAAAGGTTGAGGGATGGGCGGGGCCGGGGGTGGCGCGGGGCGGGGCAGGCTGGCTGGGCGGGGCGGCACGGCGCGGCGCGCGCCCGCGGGCGAGCCGCTCGGACGGGCCGCTCGGACGGGAATTGCTGGCGTATCGCCGAGTTGCCGGCGGTCCCCGTTTGCCACTTCCTCACGTGCCGGTGCAGCGTGAGGCGCGCGCGATTCGCATATGCGCCGGGGGCTTTGATTTGAGCGAGAGGC